ATATCCTGCAAGTGCAGGGGTACAGATTGCCTCAACACTGCCTCTTGGCTCTTTGGCTCAATTCAAATCCTTCCTGCAAATATCTCCTGTATCTTTTATGTCATCCATTCCTCTTTTTTATCAACTCTTTATCGTTGGGTGACATTATCCATTATTATGACTTTAAATACCATGCATACTTCTTAAATTTATTATTTAGTTCTGACTTCTATATATATATCCAAGTGTGCTTAATTTATACAAGAAAACCTTAATTATGTCTTTTACTCGGTATATGGTCAAAGCACATGGATCTGCCCCTACCCAGCAACATCATAGACTATCTCTGTTTGGCCAGAGAACATGGCAGGCCTGTCTTAATCAAAAGCTTGCTGTGAGAAATTGAATAGAAGGTATTTAGTCTAATTACTCCCCGGGCAGTAAAAATTTTGCCCTCTGTAAATCCAGGCCATGAAATTGTGCTCTTTGAATGACATTATTCTGGCTCTAGATAGGTTGCTCTTGCTGAATTGCATTGTGACGTTATGCCAGCTCTCTATATTGACAGGCATCCAGCCATGTGAAACTAGCACTTCATCCATTGAGGGAATGTTGTTGAGGACATTGTTTATCTACCAGTCTTTCCTTTTAACACCAACCAGAAGACATTTCTTGTTCTTTGTATTTTTAAAAAAGTATTGTCTCACCAAAAAACTCATGGTTTTTATCTTATTGATACTATGATTTTAGAATTGATCATTTTTCATTCATTGCTTTGATAACTCAGAAGCTCAAATGTATGGCTCATGAATAATGTCTAATATGACCTATCAATTTCCTCTGCTAAACTTATTATAAACATAATTATTTACCTGCTCATTTTTCACATTTTTCTGATCCCCTGATTTGTATATTATGTCCTTTTGTATCACATAATATTCTAAGTTTCCTCAAATCCTTTATAAAATAATAAATACATAAATATACATACGTGATTATAGTACTTGCAACATGAACTGTAGTTATTTTCTTACGTTTGCCTCTTGCATTGGACTATGATAATCTTGGGGGACCAGAACATTATTTTAAATCCCAGTGTCTAGCACAGTATTTAAATCATTCTCCTTACCATTAGTATGTATTTGTATCCCAGATCTGTGCTAGACACTGAGTCACTGAGTTTAAGTCACTTAAATTTTAGCTCATTTAAACTTTATTAGGTTGTGGCCTCTAGAGGGAGCTCCAGGCTCTGACTCTTTCTGTCTCTTCCCTCCACGTGCCCTAAATAAAAGTGTAGCTACAGACGTTGAAGTTACTGGGCAGTCTCTCTCTCTCTCTCTCTCTCTCTCTCTCTCTCTCACAC